GAATGGGAAGAAGTAAACATATTTATTTACCTTTTTCCAAAATTAATAAATTCTTGTTTCCTTATTCAGTCACGCAGTAAGGATTTCAGTTAGACCAAAACAACCAGTTTGCCTAAATATATACCACTTATTTAACGATTACAGAAAATATCAGATAATATTACTTTTACAGACATATTTTAATATGAACACTTGTTTTTTTTTTCTCTTTATAGAACAACAAAAAGCAGACTCGCAGCACTTCCCTTCACGTCAGTTTATTCAGCGAAGGCCTGGTCTTCCAACTATGGTGTCTTCCAAAAACCATGTATCCAGTCCCCTGAGCACTCAGCTCACATCTATGAATGCTTTGTTCAACTCTACACAATCCCAGGCCCTTTTGCAAGGCCACAGCCACAGCACGTCGAGCACCACGGCTAGTGGCAGCGGCAGCAAAAGTGTCAGTGTCACAAGATCACCCTTAAATGAGATGACTGGCCACGGTGGTCCAGGTAGTACTTTACTTTATTGAAATTGTGGGTTTATGTAGTATACCAACTAGATTTTGTAAAGTAGATTGTTCTCATCTTCACAGATTCCCTGTCTCTTCTGGGAGAATCAGATGACTATTTGGAGCAGGATGGCTTCATCGAGGAGGAAGAGATTATACCAGGGGAAGACATAATGTCAGACACAATTAACACCAACAGGCACCAGTTAAAGCAGAGGCGACTTTTCCGAGCTCCAAGAGAGCGGCAGCGAGGTAAGACAAGAAAACAAACAAAAAAGCAAACAAAACAAAACAAACAAGACAAAAAAAAAAAGAATCCTGCAACATGACTCAAATTTTCAGTTTAATAACTGTAGTAATTACCTACGAGATGAGTGGAGCTAACTCTCCTGGGTTTACTTTTTCAGTAAAAGATGCTGCTGGAGTGCTGTTTCGCTACAAGAAGATTCTGCTTACATACCAGCGACTCAAAAACATGTCAAAAGCCTTTCAAATCCACGGCGTTGACCGCAACACGGTGGCCTCTACCACACCCATCGCCGAGCTGCTTTTAGTGGCCCCAGAGAAAGTGGCAGAGGTGGGAGAGTTTGACCCGTCAAAGGAAAAACTGTTGGACTATGCCCGGCGCTGCTACATTGCCCTGGATGAAGAGACACTCAGCAGAGTGCAGGCGTTAAAGAAGAATAACCTTCTGCTGCCCATCTCCTACAGGTTCAGACACTAAGTTAGGAAAGGAACTCATAGTGGAAAGTGTCTCTCAGAATAAAAAGAAATAAAATGTGGGAACAAAACTAGAAGGGAAAAGGCAGCTGGGTTCTGCTGTAGGAGAGCAGATCATTCCCAAACTCGTTCTGTGACGGAGACAGTTTTCTTATGACGCACCTTTCACATTGCATTAACACTTTCAACACAGTTCATGTGTTTGTTTGATAAATCTTCATCAAAAGGAAGATGTTGGATGGCAATTGTTATTGGAAATAGAAAACATAGGTTCTTGTTAGGAGAGCAATGTCACATTTATGTCATTCTAAACAAAAATAGAAGTGTGTGGTCATCAGGGATTTTACCAGTAAACTAGGTAAATCTTTAGAGACATGTCCTTTTTTTAAATTTTCTATCCTCATTATGTTTTGTCATTCACACACTAGTTTGGATTATTTTAACTTGTGAAAGTCTACCACCAACTCCCACCTTTGTGTAAATTTTAACAGTTCTTATACAGTATGTTCTACTGTACTTATGTTGTATACAGTGTTTTAAAGAAAACATTCCCATTTTAATATGTCAAAATTACTTAATCTTTCTCTTTTTAATATGCAATTTTTATATTTGCCTGGGAAGAATTTTTGTAAATTACTTGCATAGGAGAAACAATCAATTTCCCTTTAACTTTTAATTTTTCCTGCTTTGAGGAAAAGGAAAACTTGGAAAAGAAGGAACAAAAAACATTTACTGGTTATGGTTAGGACAAGACTGGTGTTTTGCGGTGCAGATGCAACATGCATCTGGCAGCCAATCATTTAATTCAACCAGTTTAAAATTAATTTAGCCTAAAAAATGTCTGTAAGATTTATGCTTTCTTTTATTTCACTAAAGGCTGCCAAACTACTTTTGTATATGACTCCCTCTAAACTGAATGAGACGTCACCTCTGATACTGAAAATCTTGTAAATGTATTGTTTAAAAAACACTTTTTGTTAAATATGATCGAGCGTTGACCTGGCTTTTTGTTACATTATGGACATTTTGGTTGGTTGTGAAAACTTGTGAACATATCACATTTTTTTAATATTTAGAAAATCAACAAAAGGTGACAGTTTTTTTTTTTTTGACAAAGGGGTGTGTTTTATGTTATATCGCTCCCCTACATGTGCATGTGGAAAGAGCTCATGATCTGAGTCTTGCCTATATCTGTGGTTTTCAAAAAAATAGACAATATTAAAACAACATTTGTGGTGCAACACTGAAATAATGTTTCCTGTCCTAAATTGTAAAGTGGAAATTGCTATAATATTGAAGCTCAAGCAACCTTTTAGTGTCTGATTATACAGCTGAAAAGCAACAATTCTGGTACAAAATATCTGAAAATTTCTTCCTGTTTTCAGTGTTTGAAATACATCCATCTGAAACATTATACTCACCCAATGAATTGCATATGTCGAATGTCATTAATAAAGCATCGGAATTCATACAAAATGTAAGTCCATAAAATTGAACCATCCTCTTCCGTTGAAATGCATATAATTCATTAGGAGTACTGTTAAAAGAAGTGCAATAAAACAAGTGTTTTCCTAATACTTGAATGGTTTTTTGATTGTTTTCCAACACTGCAATCATTTCTAACCATGTTCTGTGGCAGAGATGAAAGCATGATTGTCTTGTTTTGCGTTTTAAAAGTGAACACAGACTGTGTTTTTAAAAAAAAACCTTCATTGCCACAAGAAGAAAAACTTTACCTGCAAAATAAAAAGTTCCCATTTTTGACTGACTGCAACATTTTATTATCGTTAATATCAGGTTATAATAAACTCGTTTTAGGATAGGAAAAGTAACGTAGGTAATACCTTTTTAAATTTCATTTTGCACAATATGGTATTAATTTAAAAACTACTTTTGGTATGGTCCTTTTATTCTTTTACCGGAAATGTAACATTCATCAACTTCCGGTGTCAGGGGCTGCCTGTGAAACGGAGCGAAAAAAAAAGCGGGCATAGTGGAATTTTTATTGTTTTCTGCTGTTCTAAAACTTCAGAAAGCTCAAATATTTACCTGATCGGGGCAAACAAGTGCACCTTGTTGCTCAGAGATTCCTATTGATTTGAATTTTTCTTGAAAAAGACTCATTCATTCTTCGCTCGTAGCGGGCCTTTTCTTCTGGACTTTGCTAACGCTAGCAGGCTAATACGAGCACGTTTTTGTTTAATGATTCTCTGTGTTACCTTATAAAACATACCAGACCGCTGATGTGTAAACTTCTTATTAACTTTTGTTAAGTTCATTGGCACACAGGTTGCCAACTCAAGCTAACTAACTGCAGCTATAACGCCGAGCTATTGATATTTTTTAAGTGTTGCTCACTTTGTCGCTAGCTTAAGCTAGCCACCGCCGACTGAACAACGCAGCCCCTGAAAGCGTAGGCTTCAATCCAGAAATGTCGGACTACGACGAATTCGAAAGACAGCTGTCTGAAAACAAACAAGGTAAACCAGCTTCATATCAAACACTAAACACACACTTTTAATTTGCATTGAAACTAGCGCTAGTGTTTTAACCTTAGTATTAAGGATACTTGAGCTCATTATCATTAGCTCACAATCGTAACGCCTCCAAAGAGTGGTTGATAACCAACTAGCTGACGTAGAATATATTATACTTATTTTACGTTTGATAATGGGCAGCTCAGTAGAAAAAGTTTAACGAAGTGTTTCTTTAAAACCAGGATTGACTACATTCTGGTGGGTAAATAAATCTGCCAATCAGCATTATTTTTTAGCAGCTGTGCGCGGTGATAATAATGTACCATCATCCAGTGTTGCCACATCTCACTTAAAACAAAACGAGCAATTAACCATTATATATATATTTCACTGTCAGCAAGGCCACTCGATTATTTTACACGCAGTTGTCCTTTAAATAGCTTTATTTAATCATAGCTTTATAAAGACTGCATACTTTCTGTTTTGTTTATTTTAATCTAGACTGTTTTAGATTAATTTATCTTTGAGGCTGAGGTTTATTTTGCTTGACAATTTCCACTTGGTTCCAACCATGCACAAACTGTACTACAGTAAATAAACCAAGCTGTAAAGGAGCAAGATAGGGAAAAATATATTCTTACAATGAAAGTGAAATAAATACCTGCAACAAACAAACTGACCAGGTAAAACAAAAGCTTGGTCTTGCTATTTTAATTATATTAGTCATTTATGAATGCAGCAGTCAAAATGACCCAGGTACCATTGAGGCCTTGGGTCGTTTTGATCCAAGGGCAACAGGATGGTTGCAAAAATTATCAAATTGAATACTTTGGTTCTCCAACTTTGTGTGTTTCTTTTGGTCACCCACCTAATCATACCTTTATTTTGGCAAGAGAAAAATAGATTATGTAATTTGTTCACTGTAACTTGGTGTGTCTGGGGAATGGAGAGAAATCTAGTCCCACACACACAACTTGGATCGACCTAATAAAAATACAAACGAAATAAGTGTGCTTGGCAATTACCTCAGACAGCAAGCCAGTAATGCAGAGCACAGCTACTATGTTTATTCTATATAAGCTGTTTTTAACTTTAGGTTGGTACATTTGCACTCTGTGTGCTTTTTTCTGGCAGACTTTTAGCATTTCAGCATGATTGAACTCCAATATTGGAAACAGACAAAAAAAATCAGTCAGTTAATTTAATTAAATGTCTGTTCTGCTTTGTAATTTCAAACTTGTTTTGATTTACCTGCTCTTTATTTCTGCAGCTGAAAGGGACAAAGAGAACCGCCATCACCGGCGGTCCTCATCCCGCAGCCGCAGCAGAGAGAGGAAGAGGAGGAGCAGAGACAGGGACAGACGCAGCCGAGACCGTCGTGGAGACAGTAAGGAGCGAAGACACAGGCGCAGGTTAGTACCAGTTTACAACCAACACACTGTTAAATGTTTGTCTTCAAGTTGTGAATCCAAATGGATTTAATGACTTTATTGTTAAACATGATGAATCATCAGCATCAGTGATGCACAAACAGCAGCACTAATAAAATCACAGTTTCACTGATAAAACTGCTGTATTACCAATAAAATACACCATTTTGTCAGTTTTTATTTTTAATATTTTTCCCCTTAAACCCTAAATTTCCTTTAAAATTATTCAGCCTAATTTAGAATAATGTTGGATATATTGGGAAAATACAGTTTATTATTATTCAGTTTATTTGTTTTTTCTAACTCACTGATTCAGAGCTGCGGTGACTCTTGTGTTTTGGAAAATTTATCATACAGATGAAAGTTTGTGCCACAACAGTACTTGTTTTGCCAAAACAACAGATCCGCATGCAGTTGGGAAACCTTGTGTTTTTTTTTTTGTGTTTTTTTTTTAATTTAATTTAATTTTATTTTATAATTTTTTTTGGAAAAGCTACCTAAAAAGTATTTTTTTCCTAATCTGTTCCTTTTCATTGAAATGAGTTTGATGGCAGTGGGCTCATGTTAGCTGCCATCACATGCCCAAACTCACACCAATTAAATTCTCCCTCTGCTGCCAGAGTTTCATTGGAATAAATCAAATACAGTTTACATTTCTAAGTCACACTCATGTATGTTTTCACTAAATCTAATTGCAATTCTTTAACAACTCGTTTTCATCTTAACATAATATTAATTTATGTTACAGTTTTGCAAAGTAAAAAAAAATGTTAATCTGCTTTAAAAGATGTAACTTCCAAATGTCGTTTCAGCTCACCATCCAGCTACCCCCAGGACAACGCTGGAAGGTAACATCACTCCTTATGTCTTTCATATCAATTTAGCATTTATTTTATAATATAAACGTTAAAAAACACAATCTATTTTTAATTCTACAATGAAAATTATGGTTGGAAGTTTAATGCATTGCACTTTAAATCTGTTAAACAGCCGCTCTCCGCATCGTGAGAAGAAGAAGAAGGTGAAGAAGTATTGGGATGTTCCTCCACCTGGTTTTGAACACATCACCCCCATGCAGTACAAAGCCATGCAAGGTTACACCTTTTTATTGACCCCTTTACAATATGCTTCAGATTAAAAATGAACCCTCCTGCTGCTCAATTTTAAAACGGAGGCCTCAGGGATCATCATAACCTACTAGTTTTCAAACTGTGGGATGTGCTCCCCTGGGGCAAACCCTAACCCTTCACTGCTATGTTTGATTGTTATCTCTTTAGTTCTTCTTCATGTCTTGATGCTCGTTTCTTTTTTAAAAGCTCATGTTGCTACAGGATGTCTTGTACTAAAAATGTATATTTTAAAAGTTACAGCACAGTATAAAATAACTTTAAAAAGCCATCTTACTTGCCAAACTGACAAACTTCTGCCCTAAATGACTTTATTTCACTCAGTCTGGATTAGATTTCAAAGATTTCACTTCCACTGTTTTAACCCGAGTTCAGCAGGAGGATTAATGTTAACCTTCCTGGTTTAGTCAAGGGTATCTTTTATAAAGCATGCCTGTATTGTAGATATGATGCATCATGGGGTAGGAAAATATACGTTTTTGATCATTTGCTGTTGTTATTTTATTTTGTTCAGCTGCAGGACAAATCCCAGCCACAGCCCTGCTGCCAACCATGACTCCTGATGGCCTGGCTGTTACTCCCACCCCTGTACCTGTGGTGGGCAGCCAGATGACCCGACAGGCCCGTCGTCTTTATGTCGGCAACATCCCCTTTGGTATCACAGAGGTGAGATCTAGAAAAGCATTTAGTCTAAACTTATGAAAGTCTTTAATTGACTTGCGTGTCTGCGTTTTGTAAAGTAACACATTGTTTTAATGTGACAATAAACTTTTCTCATTCCTCTCTTCTGTGTAGGAGTCAATGATGGACTTCTTTAATGCTCAGATGCGTTTAGGGGGTCTTACTCAGGCCCCTGGAAATCCAGTTCTTGCAGTGCAAATCAACCAGGATAAGAACTTTGCCTTCCTTGAGGTTTAAAAAATACCTTTGTGAAGATCATTTGTGTGTGTGTGTGTGTGTGTGTGTGTGTGTGTGTGTGTGTGTGTGTGTGTGTGTGTGTGTGTGTG